GCGACAACTGCACAGAAGTTACTAGAAGGTAACAGCAAGGTAAGAATTGGTTGGGCCAACTGTCGAATAAGAGCAACGAAGAGACCTGTCCAATGCTTCAAATGCTGGCACTTTGGGCACTTCTGATCCCAGTACAAAAGCAAAGTCGACCGGTCTAGGCTTTGCATCAGGTGCGGACAAGAAGGGCACAAGATTGCTGATTGTGAAAATCCAGCCAAATGTGCATTATGTGCTGAGATTGAAAGCGCAGAGAATGTTACCCACCATGCTGTAATCTGGTCATGTGGCAAGCTCCCTTTCCAAAATGCGGTCAACAACAGCAATACCGGCTTTGTAGCAGTATCAGTAGAGGGCATTCGCTTCTATAGCTGTTACGCACCACCTAGCCTCTCTACTGTCGAATTCACCGCATTCCTGGATCGACTTACCGAGGACGCGAAGCATTACCACCCAGTGGCAATAGCTGGGGACTTCAACGCCTGGGCAGTAGACTGGGGCAGCAAGCATACAAACGCGCGAGGAAAGGAATTACTAGAAGCCTTTTCTACATTAGATGTAGTACTGCTCAACAGTGGTGACACACCAACCTACACCAAAGGAGAGGCAAGTTCTATTGTAGATCTCACTTTCGTCAGTGGCAGCCTCACCAGAGGTAATATCAACTGGAAGGTGATAGATACCTACACAGCCAGCGACCAAAACGCGATTCTCTGGGAAATATTAAACGCCCAGAGCCCGAGAAGACCTAAAGAGCAACTTAACACCATTGGCTGGAAGGTAAAAACTCTTGACCCAAGTGCATTGTTAGTAGCTCTAAATGGCGACCAGATTATCGCGGGTTGCGCAGAAGAGAAGACCAAGGACCTGATGAAAAGAGTGACACAAGCGTGCGACGCCAGTATGTCTCGTAGACGTGGCATGAACATAAGACCTTCCGTTCACTGGTGGAACGACCACATCAGCGCCCTTCGTAAAGAGTGTCATCAAAAGAGAAGAATATCTCAGCGTGGCGACCGACGAACTAACTCTCTGGAACTGGTTGCAGAGTACAAAAAGGCGCGCCGTGAACTGAATAAAGCCATCAAAGAGAGCAAAAGAAGATGCTGGAAAGAGCTTATATACGAGGTGGATAAAGACGTGTGGGGTAGGCCTTATAAGGTGGTTATGACCCACCTGAAGAAACAACAAATGCCATCACCTACGTGTCCCCAACTTCTTCAGAAAATCGTCACTGCACTGTTTCCACAGCAACGCAACTTCGATTACCACTTGGCGCCAGGCGAATTGGACGACATTCCACCTGTCACTGAAGAAGAATTGCTGGAGGCTTGTAAACGTGTAGGGAATAATAAAGCGCCGGGATTGGACGGAATCCCTAATTTAGCCTTAAAAACCATCATAAAGGCAGCTCCAACATTATTCCTAGACGCTTATAATGCATGCCTCAAGGAGGGGACTTTTCCTCGTAAGTGGAAACAGCAACGATTGGTACTGTTACCTAAAGGGAAGAAGCCACCAGAAGAACCGTCATCTTACCGACCACTTTGTATGTTAGACACGGCAGGTAAGATACTTGAGCGTATAATCCACCAAAGGATAGAAGCAGTTGTCGATCCAATCCTGGCAGACAACCAGTATGGTTTTCGGAAAGGACGATCAACCCTGGACGCAATCAACCTGGTTACTGCAACGGCCAAGGAGGCAATCGAAGGGATCAGATGGAAGGGTGGAGCGAAGAAGTACTGCCTGGTGGCCACTCTAGACATCAAAAATGCCTTCAACTCCGCCAACTGGGACTGCATTATGCAAGCCTTGGAAGAGAAAAACGTACCATGATACCTGCGTAGAATAGTGGCTAGCTACTTCACGGACAGAATCCTGAGATACGACACGAAAAATGGTCCAAAAGAGTACGATATTACCGGAGGTGTACCCCTGGGTTCTGTTCTGGGTCCACTTCTGTGGAATGTTATGTATGATGGCCTGCTGAGACTGACTCTTCCAAGGAGTGTCAAGCTTGTTGCATATGCAGACGATGTAGCTGTCGTAATCGTTGCGAAACACCTAGATGAAATAAACCACATGTTCGATATCACCTTTGAGAAAGTTAACCAGTGGATGGATTCAATGAATCTACAACTGGCTAAACAGAAGACTGAGGCTGTGCTTCTTACCAGCAGAAAAGTGATAGAGACCACAAAACTGAAAGTCGGAGAACAAGAAATCACATCACAACCATATATCCGATATCTGGGAGTGATGCTTGATGCCCGACTCAACTTTAAGCAGCAAGTCGAACACGTGAGTGCAAAAGCATCAGCAGTGGTAGCTAGCTTAGCAGGACTGATGCCAAACGTTGGAGGCTCAAAGCAGAGCAGGAGACTACTGCTATCATCTGTAGACACATCAGTGCTTACTTTCGGAATATCTATCTGGGCAGACGCACTAGAAAAGCAAGAATCATGGAGATGGGCTTGACCAGTCTACCGTCTGAGTGCCTTAAGAGTAGCAAGTGCCTTCCGCACAATATCTATGGAAGCAGTGTGTGTCATTTCCGGAACTTTGCCTCTCGGAATCTTAGCTGAGGAAAGACGGATCCTTTACCAACGAAAGAAGTCGACCACACTAAGTGCTGAGGAGCTTGGAACAGAAGAGCGGTAGAGGAGCATAAGTCGATGGCAACTACAGTGGGATGCCACAGTGAAGGGTAGGTGGACGCATCGTCTCATACCAAGGATCAACGTTTGGCTAAACCGGAGTCACGGTGAGGTCAACTATTATCTTACACAGATGTTATCAGGACATGGCTGTTTCCGGGCGTATCTCCACCGCTTCAAGCATGATAATTCCCCAGAGTGCCCATCCTGCCCAGGAGTCAATGAAGATGCAGAGCACGCTTTCTTTGAGAACCCACGTTTTTACCCATAGCGGGATGAGCTGCAGAATATCCTGAAGAGGAAAATCCAACCAGAGATAATAGTAGCAGCAATGCTGTCATCAGAAGCTGCCTGGAACGCCACAAGCACTTTTGCTACAAAAGTGCTTACTGAGTCTCGATCCATTGAGAGGAAAAGAGCGAACGACAGAGTTTAGAAGGAAGAAATAACATCTTAGCCACCAGAAGGAAGAGCGGCAGCTAATTTCTCCCCCTGCGAAGAAATGCCTTACGGCGGTACCATGGGGGATCAGAGGATAGAAGAGAAAGGGGTTTAGGGTTTAGTGGGTAGGGGCGTCAGCGTCAACTTTTAGTACGACGCTGCGTCGAGTCGCCACATATCCGGGCCAACATCTATGCCTAGAATCCGTAAAAAGGATTCCCCCCCCCCCTAAAGGGGAAAAAAACAGACACACACACACACACACACACAAACACACACTATTGTTTTGAAAAGAGAGATTTTCATTGTTAACGCCACCGTAGTCCCTTTTGGGGTTGGAATTTGATAAAATTCATTCTTAGCTAATTATTTGGTCGGAATATTCCTTTCGCCGAGTAGAGGTCAGCTAAGAACGGATTTTACAAAATTCCACCGACAAGGGGGGTAGCGGGGGCGTTAACAATGAAAAATTCCCATTTTCAAACTATAGCTCCTATCGACTCCAAATTTGGTAGAAATCTTCTGTAAGAGATGTAGAAATAATATATGAACGAACTTTACGATATTACACCCCATAGAGGGTTGCGGGGGTTGGTATTAACAATGAAAATTTTTAATTTTCAAGCTATAACTCCTACAGACCTCAAATTTGGTTGGAATCTTCTATATGTGATATAGAAATTATCTAAGAACGGGTTTTACAACGAATCACCTCCAATAGCCCCACGGAAAAAAAATATATTCTAGAATGTATTCTTGGATATATCCGAGAATATATCCAAGGATATATCCAGAATATATTCTGGAATATATTCCAGATCCATGCAGTATATACGCTGAATATGCACAGTTTTGCCCACCGAGATATATTCTACAAATATATTCCCGGATATATTTGAGAAATATATACCTTAAAATATATAGAATATATCCAGCAATGTATTTTAAAACCGTATTTTCGGATGTATCTGGAATATATGCAGTATATATGATACGAATTTAGACTGGAATATATTCTACGAATGTATCCAAAATATATGCTTGAAATATATAGCGTTGTATATTCGGTATTTATTCATGTGTTGTTCTTTCGTATAACTAAGTAATTTGTCATCAATATTAGATAAAATTTAAATGATATCATTATTTATTTAGAAAAGTAAAAAAACTCAATATTTTTAATTATTAATACACACAGGATAATCATATAAAAAATAAACGTTTAGAAAGTGAACTGATAATTTCAATATTTTGAGACTGCAAGAAAGACTTAGTCCATGCCAGAATTATTATCGTCTTTTGAACCAGAATTGTCATTGTCTTTTTTCTCTTTTCCAGGAATCTATAAAAAAATATGAGCATGCATTATTTCTTTAAACATTTGAAGCCAAGGTAAGTGAGAAATTTTTGAAATAATATTAAATTATTTACCTTAGATTAGCGAAGTTCATATCTGACTTTATTGCATTTATTATAAACAGCCCTCCCAAAATGACTACTTTTAAAATTTTTAAAACGTTTTGTTACAAATTCTGAAAAAGAAATTCATAAATATTGACATAAATAATAAAGTGAAAAAAATAAAGTAAATGGTATTACGTTTAATGGCATTTAATTTCACAAAATCCAAACGATCATGCTGAACGTTTGTTCCATCTTTGGTAGTTTTGGGTGCTCCGCCGTTATAATTGCTCTTTGTTGTAAATGCTACAATACCGTCGCTAGTTTCACGCCGAGCCGTCGGAGCAACCTATCTCCCCACTATAGTACCTATTTACAGTATACATTCTGTACTCAACTCTAAAGTTACCCGGCAAATAACGATACACGCATAAATCTTTCTTTTACTTGTTATACTATAATTAAATAAACAATTAATTACCACGAATATTAGTCTTATTATTTCACGACACTCTTGGACAAAATATCTAAACCAAAGATTGATACTAACAAATTTGTTGTCATTGCTGAAGGTGTCGCAGCGCACTCAGCAGCAGAATATTGTTCTTTACTAATGAAAACGTTGCTCCCTGGATCACCAATTTCTTTCTAAATTTTTATAGAGAAAAAAAAACTGTTAAGCTAATTCTTGTTTTTTTAATTTGCAAAAACTTACCATTTTAAGACCACCTGATGTACTACCAGGAAGACTAAGTGAAGGGCTGTTCTTAGCTTTCTGCCTGGGCTGTAAAGTTTGAGATGTCGAAGGCTGCTGATGTTGTTCAATTTCTCGTAAGGCTGGAAATAATTAAAATAAATAATTTTTTTTTATTTTTTAATTAATAAAAAACAAAACATACCTTTCATCAAATCTTCTCCCTGGTGGAGTAGCGCGATCTCAAAAGCGACCCTCGTTTTGATCACGAGAGCGAGGTCGCTTTTTAAGAAAAAACGAGGCGATGCCGCGAAACGAAAATAAAGACGGAATACATATAAAAATCGATATGAATGTAATTTTAAGTCTTATTTGATGATTAAGAATAATTAAATTGGGATTGAGTAAATAAATAGAATTAATAAGCACATAAAATCGAGAATAATATTAACAAAGTAGTTTAAAGAGAATAAAGTATAGTGTGTGTTTTAAGTGGAGAAGTAACCTTACCGACGTTTGCCTATCGATTTTATGTGCTTATTAATTCTAATAATTTTTTAATATTCCGTCTCTTTACTTCATTCATATGATGTATATGTAATGTTTCTATTTATTGAATATATACAGTACTATATATATATAATTGTATATATAGTAAATATATATACAAAAATAAGTAAATATAATGATATGAGTAGCCGACATGTCTTCGGAAGGTTCTGGGTTCGAATCCCAGTCCGAGCTATCTAATATTTTTTTCTCGCATATTCTATAAACTCACATTAAGATGATCCTCTCCACAATTCTTTCTCAATCCTTTCCTACCAATTATCCTGTTACGTGAATGTTGGAACGCTTCACGTAATAATTATCCGTAACTCCTATTCTTTCCCGCTTCACAGCATTATTTATGGTTGTTAAAAAATATAGGAGTTACGGATAATTATTACGCGAAGCGTTCCAACATTCACGTAACAGCATAATTGGTAGGAAAGGATTGAGAAAGGATTGTGGAGAGGATCATCTTAATGTGAGTGTATAGAATATGAGAGAAAAAATTATTAGATAGCTCGGACTAGGATTCGAACCCAGAACCTTCCGAAGACATGTCGTGGTAATCTTTTAATCTATTATAGATATTATATATTATAATACTTATATATTTAATAATTTGTCTATTTTGTCTAACTATTACAGTTATATATATATATATAACTAAATATATAGAGAAAAATATATACAACATATATTTACATATACTAGTAAATGAATATAGTTATCATACAATAACATGTATATATAATTGTATAATAACAAATAAATATAAGGTTAAACGGAAAAATTATACTCCACCAGGGCTTTTGTGACATATTGATGCCCAACTTCTTCATTGATCTGAATTACTGGTGTAATTTGCTGGTGTAATTTTTCCGGTCTCTTTGCTAGCAGAACTTATGTTCTTTTCCCCAACTTTGATAGTTAAATTATCATCATTTTGATCCTAAATAATAAAAAATTATAAAAAAATCAATTAAAAAAAAAATAATGATAATAATTGACAATTGAATATCGATTCATTCGAAATTTACAATAAATTTAAGGACTTTGAATGTTTGAACTAGGAAAATTATTTTAAAATAAATTTTACCTTCTTATCATCTCCAGTAATATCAATTAAACTGTCATTGTTCTTTTCACTCGAGTTCTCATTTTCAAACCTAATTTTTTTTCGTGCAGAAGTATGTTCCTCCGGATTTTCTTCATCCTAGAAGTAAAATTATCAATTAATTTTCTGTATATTTTTTAATTTAATAAAGTTTAATAAAAATAATTTGTATAAAATTATATTATTAACATAAAATTACAATATTAATTTACTTCTTCTGCCAATAGATCGACTACTGAATGACTGCAATGGGCTTGAGGTTCCTTACGATTAATCGGTACTATTTCTTGGGTATTTATCGTTTTTGGTGATACAATACCGTCTAGAGCTTTTAATTTTTTATTTAAAACGTTACGAGAATCTACAAAAATTAAAGAGTTATTAGTCTGTCAAGATGGCGGACAGAAAGCAACAGGTTTCCGATACGTGCAAAGTTTTTAAGTGTAATTCCAACATGAAAGTGCCTAAAATAGTTATTTGTCTTGTGTGTGAAAATGTTTATCATGAGGCTGATTTTAATAAACATTCCAAGGGCAGATATATAAGTGAAATGCTAGTAATATGTCCAAAACATCAAATGGACGCTATAACCAACATATCTAATGTGAATTTAAACACATTGGATGAAAATGCTCGACAAATAATTGCGCAGATTAAATTGTTTCATAAAGAGGAACTTAGAAATGACCTATGTCACAATTTGTCGTTAAATTCGTCTAAAAATAACCAGGAAATTGCTGAATCAACGGAGCTTGATGAACTGTCCATGTTGAGGATGGAAAATGAACTTTTAAAAGAATTAAATAATGAACTAAAAAGTAAAAACAAACTACTGGATAGTATTGTTAATAAGGTAAATAATCAAGTGAGTGATCTGTCGTATGCTAGTGTAGCTAAGAGTGAACCAAATAATGCTGATCGAGTGACTAATATTTATGTAAAACCGAAAGAGAATATTAAAAATCCTCAAACTTTAGCTAAGGTTAAAAACAAATTAACTTGTGATCTTGCTATTCCTATAAACACGGTCAAAGAAAATAAAGAGGGTCATGAGGCTATTAAATGTAAAAACAATATTGATGTGTCCAGAGTGAGATCTGTGCTGAGTGATAAACTTGGCCTTGATTTCAGTGTTGAACTGGAGCAGCTAAATCTACCAAAAATCAAGGTTATTAATGTTGATTGTGACTTAACTAAGGATGAACTGTGTGATGATATTTACAATCGTAACTTTCTTGAGATTGATGGTGCATTTAACATAATTGCTGATTATAAGGGTCGTGCTGATAATCGTACTCTTATCTTAGAAATAACTTCTGAGTCTTATCTACATTTAAAAAATAATGGCTTTAGACTGTACGTTGGTCATCAGTGCTGTAGAATTTTTGATTATTTTAATTTCAACCTGTGTTATAAATGTGGTAGATCAAACCACAAGCATAAAAACTGTAGTAATGAAATCAGATGTCTAATATGTGCTGGTAGCCATCTTACTGAAATGTGTACAAGCCAATCTAAAAAGTGCATAAACTGTGTATTCTACAATGATAAATTCAAAAAAGATAGAGCTACTGATCACTGCGCTACAGATACGTGCTGCGAATATCTCAAGTACAAACTGAACAAGATTATTAATGAAACTGATTATCCCATCAAACCTATTTTACCAAATTCAATTGGTAATGTAGGAAATACACTGTTAAAAATTTCTATTGTAATTTTACAAGAAATGTATTGGAAGCTAATAGGCAAAACATTTATTCAAATTACAATCGGGTATAGTAAAATTACAAAATGTATATAGCTCAGTGAGGTTACTAATTTTACAAAACAGTTTTGTAATTTTACAAATATTTTTAGATTAGCTAAGTTTGTAAAATTACAATACTTTTCTTGAATTTTACTTTAATTGAAACAATAAAAAAGAAAGATTAGATTCAATATTTGTTGTCATTTTATTTTTACGAAGCACTGATTAGATTTTGAATCTCACGTAGACCTAATTATTACAACTTAGATGATATAAAGTGAAAATAATATTTACCCTAACTAAGAATCGAACGACCCTAACTAAGAATCGTACGACCGATAGGTGGTCCAACATCTTATTATTTTTACAAGCTAATCCTATGTGGTGATTGAGCATTACGGCTTATTATTTATTATTTACATTATTTGTGTTATTTGATGCTGTTTATTGATGGAAAATAACTAACTTTTACATTATTTATAATTCATTGAATATTATAAAAATTAAAGTCTAACATATACTCATTAAAATATATTGATTTCGAAATGATCTTTTGAGCGTAATATTAAAATTTATAAAAGATAAATGATGCCTCGAATTTATTATTACTAATAAACAACCATAGAGTAAAAATTAGTAAAAATAAATATGAAGGACATTGTTGTTTTTTGATACATCAGTCTCATTTTTGTAAAACTGAAAAGTATTGTTTTTAAAATTGAAAAACAGTCAAGTAGAATTACAATTCGTGTAATATAAATAAAATTTTCTGGTAACATTATATTGCACTGTGTAATTATACAATGAAAATTGTAATAATAAAAAAAGCTTTTCAAATTTTTTATAAGATTATTGTAATATAAATGACAATATTTTTTTATGATTTTACATACAATTATGCCGAATCAGATTACAAATAATGTTTGCAAAATTAAAAAGCTTTTTCTTGAAAATTGATGAACAGTTCTGTAATATTACAATGCGTGTTAGGTTTATACAAGAAGATTGTAAAATTACAATACATCTTTGTAGATTTCCTGACAGGTGTTGGAAAATTACATGAATTGTATTTTATTTCGCATTGCTATACACTGATTTGTAATTTTACATATCATTTGTTTTGTAATATGATTATAATTTTACAAAAATTTTTAACAGTGTAGATTGATAAATCAAAATCAATAGCTTATCATCAATGAAGGATAATAATTCTTCTATTGAAGAAAACTTTAGTGATCTTTGCAGCTTAAATAAATTTCTATGTCATGATAACTTACTGATACTGCATCTCAATGTCAGAGGACTAAATTCTAATTTTGAAAATCTTGAAATTTTTATTCGTAACTTAAGTGTCAAACCTGAAGTCATAATATGTTCCGAGACTTGGCAACTACCCTGTTTTACTTTTTTTCACCTTGATGAATACAGTTGTTATTATAATCATAGTAATGTCAATAAAGCCGACGGAGTTGTTATGTATATTAAGAAAAATCTACAATTTAGCACGTCAATTGAAGTATCGGAACAAGTAAAGTTTATGTCTACTAAAATTAAACTGAATGATGGTAGTGTTTTTAAAATATCTGGTGTGTATCGAGTCATGATGTGAGCAAAAAAGATTTTGTCAAGGCAACATACGAATACATTAAGTTAAATAGTCATGGCAAAAATCATGCTATAGTTGGTGACTTTAACATAAATTTGTTGTCAACAGATCTTTTAGCAAATGACTTTCTGTCAAATTTTCTAGACAGAGGTTATTTACCACATTTCAATGATGTAACCAGACCAAATGATTCTGGTGGAACTTGTATTGATAACTTCTTTATCAAATCCAACCTATGTAATTTAAAGTCCTTTACTTATACTAATACTTTTACTGATCACTTTCCGATCTTTGTCAGTTTTGATCATCTTAAAAGCAATAATAGTAATATTAGTAATAATAATTGCAACAATGGTATTGTTCCTATAAATTACAACCATCTTGCTATTCTTAGTAGTGAATTTAATTGGTCGACATTACTTGAAATACAAGAACCTGATAAATTCTTCAATGTACTCACAGATAGTATTAAGTCTTTAGTAAGTGATGCTAAGTTTAAAATCAGAAATAAAAAAAACAAAAATAAACCACGTAGTCAATGGATAACTCAGGGCATTATGGTTTCATGTAAGATTAAAGAGCAACTATATAATATTTGAAATTTAGACAGGGATAATGCGGAACGTAAAAGTCAATATAATACATACTGTAAAATTCTTAACAAAACAATTAAATTAGCCAAAAGTAACTTTGAATCTAAAAAAGTCAGAAATTATTGTAATGATAGTAAAAAACTGTGGAATTATGTAAATAGCAAGCTTGGAAAAAATAATCGAGCTAAAGATATTGATTATATTATTAGTGATGATGAAATTGTTTCAGATAAAAAATTAATTGCTGATAGTTTTGTTGACTTTTTTACTAATGTTGGTGAAAATCTTGCGAGTAGGCTAGGTAAAAATGATGAAACTAATTTTGAAAAAACTGTTGAATATAATTGTAATAGTATATTTTTATTACCTAATAATAAATTTGAAATAGAAAAAGTTATCCACGAATTGAAAGACAAAGCTGGTGGCGTTGACAATATTCATAGCAAGATACTAAAATGTATAGCCAAAGATATTAGCCTGCCGTTAGAATATATCTTTAATAACTGCATAAGCAGAGCCATATGGCCCACTGCTTTGAAGAAAGCTGATATTATTCCAATTTACAAGTCGGGTAACGCCCATCTGGCTACCAATTACAGACCTATTTCTTTGATTTCTAACTTGGCTAAAATCTTTGAAAAAATTTTATATGGTAGATTATATAATTTTTGTATTTGTAATAATTTGATCGCAAACAATCAATATGGTTTCATGAAGAATAGAGGCACTGATGATGCCTTAGCTTTTACCTCTAACTTTATTTACAATAATTTGGATAAAAACCTAGCTACAGTGTTAGTTTTCTTGGATCTTGCTAAAGCTTTTGACACAGTGAATCATAAAATTCTTCTAAATAAACTATGGCGTAAGGGAATAAG